AGTCATTATTTTATGTAGGAACATGGTAAATTTTCATTTATTAAATTACACAGCATTATCTTTTGTCCGAGTTAGGTCACCACTGCCTAGGAGAGCTGCTGCTGAGTTGGTGATTGGCACTGTTACCACTCCACCATGCAGATCAGCAACCAACATGTGTTTTAAATTAATCCCCAAAGTATTGTCTGTAAAATAAAATTTTTAAATATGTTTCCAATGTAAATGTTTCATTAGATAATTACATTTATTGTATTTCAAGACTCCGTACTCCAGCAGAGGTGAAGTTTCCCAGAATTATTTTAGCCTTCTCAGTAAGGCTATTTTGGCCAGAGTATCTGTTTTAAGGAAGTAGTAAGATTTTTTTTTAAGGCAAGAGCCTATATTTAGGTGCTCACTGTTGACCACTTAGTCACTTAGTTCCATGGCTGGGCTAAACTAAGTCATTAGCCATGTTTTCTGTCAGCAATATTTATATCAATGACATGTTTTGATGGTTCTTTTTAAGTCTCGTGCTTATTAAAGTAAGTTAGTTGGTTATTTTTCTTTATTTTCCCTTAATATATATGTATTACAAAAGCTTGCTTCTTGTTAAATAATGTGTGTTTGATTGGTTGTTTTATAAAGAAAAGCAGTGAAATTGTTCCTAAAATGATTGAGTAAAGATCCAGCAAAGAATAAAGTAGATAGCACTAAAAGAAGTACTAAGAATATGTGTGTACACACTAGGAAAGGCACAGAAAATGTGGTGTTGGTTCTTGCCAGTGTTTAGTTTCTACCACTTAGGACTCTGCAAGCTTTCTGTTTATTCATACATCAGAGAGAGAGAAAGAAAATTACTAATGGCACCAAACTAACATCACTAGTCAGAGGGCAGGAAGTAAATATGACTTCTTATGTTGAGAGAAGAGCCATCAAGCAGTTGAGAGTAGGCCTTACATTGTGCCCAACATTATGTAAGGTACAATAACAATAATAATGATAAAATAATACTTTGGCAATTGAAATAATAATAATAACTAACACTTGCATAGCATTTACTGTATCCTAAAAAGGCATTATTCTAAGGCCTTTATGTGTATTAGCATATAAGCCCCCCAGTGACCTGAGATAGGTGCCACTATTATCCTGTCATCATTCATTTAATCCCTATAACAAGCCCATAAAGTAGATCCTATTATTAGGCCTATTTAACAGATGAAAGAAATGAGGTTAAATAATTTGTCCACGGTCATATAACCAGTAAGTGGTAGAGCTGGAGTTCAAATTTAGGCACTCCAGCTCCAGAATCCATGTTCTTAACCACTGAGGTAGTCTGAATAATGGTCCTTCAAGATATCCACACCCTCATCCCCAGAACCTGTGAGTATTACCTTATATGATAAAAGGGACTTTGTAGTCATGAGTAAATAAAGGATTTTAAAATGGGAGATTAAGTTAAGACTTTTTATTATAAGCAAACCTTCCTAAGAATCCACAAAGGAAAGAGCTTTAGTAATAATTCCTCAATAGTCCCAGCTTTATAGCACTTGCCATTTTATTACCAGGAGCACAGTTTCTTAGTCCTTATCTCTTTCTGTATGAAGATTACTCAGAGGTAATCCTCAGACTGCATCTACTTCATACTCAAACATGAAAGTCATTCTGGGTACAGAGTTGGCCCTTAAACTAGAAACTTAAGAAATATTAGGCAGAAGATACCATCTTTTCCTCAAGGAATGAGCATTCGAATGTCTACTGTATGTCAAGTACCAAACTAGGAATTTTTATTTTTTGTTTAATCCTCTTATCTGACCCTTCTTATAAAGGGTAGTTATTAATACCCATATCTTGACAGTGAGGAGTGAAACTCAAAAATTTTAAATAATGGGCTCAAGGTCAGAAAAGCAGTAAATAAGATTAGAATTCAGACTTGTCTAATGTCAAGGTACATGCATACATTGTGCTGTACTCAGTACTGCTACTGCAAACTGATCTTTCTTAGGAGCTTAGATTTAGGCTAGGGCATGTCCAAAGGGTTTATTTAGTTCTAGCTAGTCACCATAACAACATTGCCAAGCAACCCCTGACCTGGTATGGGCTAGGCAGATTCCTGGATTGCCATGGAAATGAACATTCTTCTTGCATGACTCTTAAGATGGACTTAGTTCTGTGTTCAACTTGGTTTTTCTATTGTTGTATGTTAAGAGTTAAGACCAAACCATAATAAGTGTGACTGTGTTCCAATAAAACTTCATTTATGGACACTGAAAATTGAATCTTATAGTTTTCACATCACATAATAGTATTGTTTTTCTTCCAGTCATTTAAAGTTGCAAAAATCATTTTCACACCACAGGTTATATAAAAACAGGTGGGGCATATTTGGCTGTGGTCTAGATGGCCTGTTATACACTAGCACGTTTATTCTCATATTTGCATTGCCATTTTATTTTTTAAAATATAAATCCAGGTCTTACAAATGTCATAATTTTAAAAACCTTGATAAAAATTATATGTGATTTATGTAGCTGGTGATATTTGATTGCCTACCAAAGAATCATCATTTCCACCTTCTTTGTTGACAGAACTTCTGGTTCAGATTTTGTTCAGGTACCCAGTGGTCATGTACTTAGAGGAAGATTGCTTCTTATACCTCCCAAGATCAAGAGGTGAATCTTTATTGGTTTAATCCAACTTTAATACTACTACCCTTGCAGTGATTGATTTAGATGGATGAAAAGTCCAGCATGAGGAAGTAACCACTTGAACTGCCAACCCATAGTGATTGATTTAGGAATTGCAATTCTGGACAGTAAGATTCATGGGGAAGAATTCAGTTGCATACAATTGACTGATCCTGGAATAATGAATTTTTGACAACTGGAATGTAAATCAAAGTTCCTAAACAGACACATTTAAACTGTACTTTGTTTTGCATTGGCTACTATAGATTACTATATTGGCAAACATATTTCAAGAAAATAGTTATATATATAATAGAATCTTAAAATATTTATTAAAATTTTTGAGTTCAAATATAGAAAAAATTTTTGTTATTCTAAAGTAAAATTATAAACTTTTGGGAAGGACTGGTGTTTATTATATCTTTTTTTCCTTGCAAAATGTTTTTTCATTCACAAAGTAATAGAAATGGTAAGAAATGGAAACCCCATGCCAATAATCACAAAAGTGTTTGAAATTTAACTGATCTATTGAAATCTGAAAAGCCTGCTCCATACTCACTAAACTGTACTCTTACCATCTCACTGTTGACACCTTGCAGCCTAGCTTTGGATTTAACCTCTTGGCTAAACTGGTTTCTAGAAATCACCAGTGATTTTATGGTCCCTTACTCCCTTTTTTAAACCAAATGTCCTCTTTGATTTTTTTTTTTTTTTTTTTTGAGACAGAGTCTCGCTCTCTTGCCTGGGCTAGAGTGCCCTGGCATCAGCCTAGCTCACAGCAACCTCAAACTCTTCGGCTCAAGCAATCCTTCTGCCTCAGCCTCCCAAGTAGCTGGGACTACAGGCATGAGCCACCATGCCTGGCTAATTTTTTCTATATATTTTTAGTTGGCCAATTAATTTCTTTCTACTTTTAGTAGAGACAGGGTCTCGCTCTTGCTCAGGCTGGTTTAGAACTCCCGACCTTGAGCTATCCGCTGGCCTTGGCCTCCCAGAGTGCTTGGATTACAGGCTTGAGCCACCGCGCCCAGCCCCCTTTGATTTTTTTGTCTTTAATTCTGTTGTCCATTCTGTCTCTGTAACTCTCTTTCCTAGGATTTGCTGAGAGTGATTCTCCATTATTCTGCCTAAGTAACAATATTTTACTCTCCTTTACTTTACATTGTTACTTCCTACTTCTTGGGGGTAACACTCTTGAAAAACATTGAATATTTATGATGCCTCTAAATAGTAGGTATGAGAATGAATTAGCCACAAGTAGACACTACAAGTTGCTAAGCAGAGACTATTTATTAATAGTAGAGACTATCTTTTGATATAAAGCAAGGCTTATAAGTAGAATTTAATAATTTTCCTAACTGATAATTTTTGAAAGTGTGTACATATATTTAGTGCATTGTATTTCTTTGTATATACCATTATTAAACCATTTCTTTTTGGAAATTTGGTTCCAGTTGTGTGTGTATGCTTTTTTTTTCTTGTAATTTTTCAACTGGAGAAGGTCTGGGAAGGAATTGTACTAAACCTAGTGGGTAAAGGACAGAGATGCTGCTAAACATCCTTCAAGGTACATGACAGAGTATTATCTGGTCCAAGTATCAATTGTTTCAGGGTTGAGAAACCCCGTTTTGTATTATTCCATTTCATCTCCTTTGTTGGCTTTTTATCTATAATTCTTGTAGTTGCTTTTGGATTAATACTATACCTCTTTAACTTATCACAGTCTACCTTCAAGCAATATTTTACTATATTATGCATAGTATAACAGTATTCTTCCATTGTTCCCTCCATTTTCTTCTCCCCTTCTGGCCTGTGTGCTGTTGTACTACATTTTACTTTTACATGTGTTATAGACCCTACAATTTGTTTTGATTATATTACTTTAAACAGTTAATTATCTTAAAAATTTTTTTAGGGCAGCTATATTGAAATATAATTAACAGGTAGCAAATTGCATATTTCAAGTCTACAATTTAGTTACTTTTGACATTTATACTTGAAAAACCTATCTCCACAATCAAAATAAGGAACATATTCATCCTCCCCAAAACTTCTCCTCCCCTTAGTAATTCCTCCCTCAATCCCAGGTAGCCACTGATCCCCTTTCCACCACTATAGATAAACTGGCATTTTCTAGAATTTTATATAAATGGAATCATAAGTTATGTCCTCTTTTTTTCTGTCTGACTTCTTCCAGCATAATTATTTTGAGATTTATCCGTGTTGTTGTATGCATCATTGGGGAAATATTTTTAATGACAAATACTCCAAGTAATTAGATTATAATTATTAAAGAGCATACCGAATTCTAGTCACTTGATGTGTTTTTCGTTTTAGGTCATGACTGTCCAAGGTATGATAATCACATGAGAGCACCCATTGCTACAGATGTCATTTGACTCATCAAGAGAAAATCTATATAAAAGAAAATATCCATATGACCAAATCCATTTCTTTATTGAATGGCTTGATGGATTTCCTTTACTCTGATTCATACCAAAGCTGTCCTCCTCAACCAAAGCAAGAAAGAATCCTGCATGAATCAGTCCCAGAATGCCATTTTTATGTCACCAACAGGTGAAGAAAACCTCATGAATAGCAATCACAGAGACTCGGAAAGCATCACTGGTGAGTCCAGTTTGATAAATATTGAAGTGCTGTTGCTTACAGGATGAAATACAAATGCTTCACTCAGGCATATGCGACCTGCCATGATGAAACCCTAGCTTCCCTGTCCAGCCTGGTCTCCTCAGAGACAGACTAAATTAGTCTCTCCATCCCCTGGTCTGCTATTGCGTTATCACAGTCTGCCTTGTATCCTGTTCCTTGTCTGTGTCTCACTCCCCTGTACTCTGTAAGCCCCTAGTGAGTAGGAACTGTCATACTCATCTTATCTTCACAAGGAAAGGGCAGAGTTGTTTGTGTTCGAATACCCTGCAAGCATCTGGCAACACAAGAGGCTCTTGGGGCTTACGGAGTATATAAACACAGGTCCAGGCCCATGACACCATATCTGCAAGGCTAAATTTTAAAAACTGTGAACACTAAAAGTTTTTCTAAACTTTGGTCCTAAAACTCATTTGCCCACAAAACCTGACTTGTGTGGCTATCTCTAGACTTAACTAATTTGCTAAATATATATTTAAATAAGGGGATACTGCTACAAAACCAGTTGGGGATGTTATGTAACATACAGTTAATGCATAGTACCACTTTTCTAAAAACCTGAAAAATTCTGAAACTCATCTAAACTCAAAGTTTTTTTTTAAATTTCGCTTTATTAAGATACAATAAAATGCTCTTAAGTGTATAGTTTGAATTTTGACAACTGTATACACTCATGTAACCACTAGTACAATCAAGTTACAGAACTTATCTCTTTATAGTTTTAATTTATATTTTCCTGATGGCTCATGACATTGAGCATCTTTTCATGTGCTTATTGGCCATATATAAATCTTATTTTAAGTTGTTTATTCAAATCATTTGCCCATTTTTTACTTACAGTCTTACTACTGAATAGTAATCATTAATTATAAGTGTTCTTTATATATTCTAGGTGTAAATCCTTTCTTTGTTAGACAAATGAATTGTGAGTATTTTCTCCCAGACTGTGGCTTGCCTTTTCATCTTCTTAATGGTGTCTTTTGAAGAGCAAGAAGTTTTAAATTTTGATGGAGTCTAATTTATCAATTTTTGCTCTTATGATTCATTTTTTGTGTCATTTCTAAAAAATAATTGCATAGCTCAAGATCACAAAGGTTTTCTTCTCTGTTTTCTGTAAAAGTTATAGTGTTTCTACAGTGCTTCTACAGTTAAGTCAGTGGTTCATTTTATAGTTAATTTTGAGTATGGAATGAGGTTAGGGCCCAGGTTTTTGTTTTTTGCTCTTCAACTGAATAGTTTATCCTACATTGTTTGTTGAAAATACTGTCTTTACCCCTGTTGAAAATTACCTTGATAATTTCATTGAAAATCACTTACTCATATATGTGTGGGTCTATTTCTGGACTCTATCCTGTTCCTTTAATCCTTAAATCTGTCTTTACAGAAATACCACATTATCTTGATTACTGTAACTCTTATAAATCTTGAAATCAGGTAATATAAATTCTTCAACTTTGTTCTTGTTTTTTAAAAATTATTCTGACCATTCTAGATGTTTTATATTTCTGTATAAATTTTAGAATCAGCTTGTCAATTTCTATGAAAAAAGAATCCTGGAATTTTCAATGGAATTACATAGACTCTATAGAGAATTGATATCTGAAGAAATCCATGAACTTGATATATCTGTCCATTTTTTAGGTCTTCTTTAATTTCTCTTAACAGTTATTTAATTTTTATTGTATAGGTCTTAAATATATTTTGTTTAATTTAATCTTAAGCATTTTTGTTTTTAAATGCCATTATTTAATTTCATTCTCCAACTGTTACTACTATATAGAAATGAAATTGATTTTTTAATATAAACCTTATATTCTGCAACTTCTCTTAGTATTTTATTAACTTTCTGGTAGAGTTCTTAGAATTTTCTACATATACTATAATGTCTACAAATAGAGACAGTTTTACATATTCCCTTTTAATCTGAATGCCTTTTATTTCTTTTTCTTGCCTTATCGAATGGGACAGGATCTCAGTATAGTGTTGAATAAAAGTGGTAAGAGCAAATATCCTTACAATATTTCCAATCTTAGGAGAAAAGTTACAGTCTTTCACCATTAAGTCTTTTGAGAATGCACTTTATCAAATTGAGAAGGTGTCCTCTTCCACATTGTATGAGAGGTTTTTATTCATGAATGTGTATTGAGTTTTGTCAGATGTGTATTCAGCAACCGTTGAAATGTTCATATGGTTTTTCTTTCTTAGTCTGTCAGTATAGTGAATTCTGTTGGCTTATTAATAGTTTTGAATTTTAAACCAAACTTGTATTCCTGGAAAATATTCCACAGTTATGATGTATTGGGGCATGCAGGTTTGATTTACAAGTGTTTTGTTAGGGAGTGTGTGTGTGTCCCAATCCCATTTTGTATTGGTTTGTACTTTTTTTGCAGTGTCTTTGCTTGATTTTGATATTGAAGTAATGCTGGCCTCAAAATGAGATGTGATGTGTTCCCTCTGTGTTTGGAAAACTTTGTGTAGAATTGGTATCATAGCATTTTCCATCCTTTTACTTTTAACTTACTTGAATCTTTACATTTAAAGGACATCTACAGATAACTTACAATTAGGTTTGTTTTTTAAAATCCAGTCTGACAGTATATATTTTCTAACTGGAGCATTTAGACCATTTACTTCTAAAAAAATTATGACTTTAGTTGAGTCTACTATGCTCCTATATGTTTTTTGTGTGTTCATTTTGTTCTTTCTTTTTTTAGGTTTTTTTTTTAGGATTCCATTTTAATTCTGCTATTGGCTTCTTAGTTATACCTCTTAATTTTCTCAGTGGTTGCTCTCAATTGCAATACATACCTTTAACTTATCATAGCCTATCTTCATATAACATTATGCTGTTTCATAAAGTGAGACTCTTAAAAACAGCATTCTTTCATTTCCCCTTACCATCCCTTATATTATTATTGCCATGCCTTTTACATCTACATGTTATATACATAACACATTGTTATTATTTTTGCCTTAAACAATCAATTATAAATTAAATAAATTATGAAAATAGAAGGCTTATATATTACTCATAGATTTACCATTATTGTCACTTTTTGCAGATTAAAGTTTCTGTCTGGTATCCTTTTTGCCTGAATAACGTTAACATTCTCTGCAGTAGATTAGCAGTCACACAGTTTTCTGCTTATCTTTAAAAAATCTCTACTTCATCTTTTTTGAAAGACATTTTCACTGGTATGGAATTCTCAGTTGACTTTTTTTTTCATGTGTTTTAATGATGCTGTTCCATTGTCATTTACCTTGCATTGCTTTCAATGAATGTTTCAAGTTCTTTTTTTATTCCCTTAAATGTAGTATATCTTTTTCTGTCTGCTTTTAAGAGTTTCTCTTTATCACTGCTTTTTCGCAATTTTGCTTTGGTGTGTTTTTCTTTGTGTTTACCCTGCCTGGAATTGTTGCGCTTCTTTGAACTATGAATTTATTTTAATTAAATTTGAAGGATTTTGGCCATTATTTTTTCAAATATATTTTCTCCTCTTGCTTTTGTTTTCTTCTGGGCTGCCAATTGAGTGTATGTTAGATTGCTTCATATTATGACACAGTCACTGATGATCATTCAGTTTTTTTCCTCTGGCCTTTTTTTTCTCTGTGATTCATTTTTTATATTTTCCATTGCTATGCCTTCAAGTTTACTGTTCTTTTCTTCTGGAGAATGTGTAATCTGCTAATCTTATCCAGTGAATTTCTCATTTTAGATATTGTACTCTAATTTTATTTGAGTTTTATAAATACAGCTATATCTTCTGTTTCTCTTTTCAGTAAGTTCATATTTTCCTTTTAAATCTTTGAGCATACTATTAATAATAATAGTTGTTTTTACATTGTTGCTTACTAATTCTGTTATCTCTGTCATTGCTGAGTCTATTTCTGTTGACTCATTTTCCTCCTGGTTTTGGATTATAATTTCTTTATTAGTAATTTTTACAGAATGCAGAACATTATGCATGTTACATTGTTAAGTGTTGGGATTTTGTTGTCTTCCTTGGAAGAGTGTTAAAATTTATTTTGGCAGGTCTTTAAGTTATTTGCTATTTAAGGTCGATCTTTTTTGAGGCTTGTTTTTAATCTTTGTTATGTGGGTCTACAGATCATTTCTAGACCATATGCTAGTATACTTTATTCTAGTGTTAATTTAATTCTGCTAACAGTAGGCCTGACCCTTCTGGGATCTTTACTAATTGTCCCAAGTGTTGAATGATGTTTTTCTTCTCTGGCTAGATGAAATTGAGACCTCTCTCTTAGCTTTATATAAGTGATGTGATGTCATGAAGATGTGGAGACTGATTTGAGTGTCATAAGGACAGACCAATTTTGAGGCCACTTTCAAGAGAAATAAGAGGAGACAATGTGACTAGAAAGAAACAGGCATATGGAAGAGGGCTGTCAAGCCTGAACAATCAGGAGAGTAATAAATAGTACATTATCAGAAATGTGGGAGCAGGTAGGAGGAACTAGTCTGAAGAATATTTAGCTCAACTTATTAATACTTAACCTCTATTGTACACTCATTTTTAAAATATTTTTTGGAAGTAGGAAATTGATCTTGAAATTCACAGAACTTCATTAATACTTATTGAAAGAAAACTTCTAGGGACTAGTAGCTCTTTTCATGAATGTCACTTTTGTTTTTCATTTCCTTTAAACCCTTGGATGCCTAACAGTCAGCTTTTAGCTCTGTATGTATTTATAGTCAACTTCTCTTCCTGCATGTATTATAATGACAGTCTGTATATAGTATATGTGTGGCAGAAAAACTTTGGATAATCACATGGAATTTGTAGTAATAGATTTTGAATGTATTTTCAGGGCTCTTATTTAAGAGATTTGCCAAGGATTGAAATCTTCTTTAGAACCATATTTAAGATTTTAAATGTACCTCATCTCTATCTCTATGTGATTATGAAACATCTGCTTGTCCTTCTGGGTGAATAGGGATGTCTGATATTGTCAGCTTTCTTATATTTGACTTATTGAAATGTCATTAAATCAAAGTCAAGTAGTAGAATTTACCCTTTTTAAATTTGTTTTCTTAAATTGTACTTTGTTGTTCTTTGCTAGAGTTAGAGCATGTTTCTTTAAACAACCCACAAAGGAAATACCAGATCTCATGAGAGGGTGGGTATGGCATCCTGTATTTTCTCTATTATTTTAAGCCCTAGTATTAAGCTTGTTAAAAGGGATAACTTTTTCTTTTTTGTAAACTGCTAAATGTGGGAGTTGTTAAGTGATGGGCGGTATTGGGAACAGGAAGCCAACAGCAGGCACATAAAGACAGAAAAGCCCAGCTGTGTTCAGAGATAGGGTAGGGTAGTAAATGATTGTCTTTATTTTACAAATGAGAGAAATTAAGGCTCAGGAAGGATAAATGCAAGATATTGTAAGTGTTGTAAGACAATTTGAGCCCAGCTCTATTTACTCTTCAGACAAGTTGTTTAAGTCCTCTGAGTTAGAGTATATCCTATCTTTCTTTTTCTTTGCATTTGTGTATTTAATGTACATATTTAAATCTAAGTTTGGTTTATTAATAGTGGGAGAAGTGTGTGTACATTTTTACATACATAAATGGAATATATTGGTTGTGTTAGTTTCTTTCACTTACCAATGTCTTGAGAGACCTTTCCATGTCAGTGTATGTACTTCTGTCCTGTTTGGTAAATCATATGTCTAACATCCCATAGCAAATGAGTAGAGAGTCAGAGTTAGAAACTAAGTCTAATTGAAATTTTTTTAATGTTTAAATTTAAAAAAAAAAAAGAATAAAAATATAAAGAAAAAAAAGCTAGGTCTGATGCTAAATCCCATGTTCTTTCTAATATTAAGAATGAAAAATGGGACAATAAGTAGACTAAGCACCTGGAGCTATTAGGAGATATGTAGGACTACTATGGTATGTTAGAGAGAGATGTGATACATATGAACTTGCCTTCTAGAACAAATGGTCAGCCTTTGTCCTATAAATATTAATAAATGAGCATATAGCAATAAGAGATGGCTCTGAGGTCAGGTGGGCACAGTGCTGAATAGGAAATTGAGACAAAAGTCCAGTGGTCCTCAGCAAGTCACTCACCTTTAAGTCAGTTTCCTTATCTAGGAGGCAGTATTAGATGATTTCTCAAAGTACTTTCTACTTTTAATACTCTATAATTATTTAGATGCTATAGCAACCTTAGACTTGATTTCATCTCTAGGTCTAAAAACTCAATAGTAAAACAATAATAAAAATGGCTAACATTTAGAGAGTTCCTTCATGGTGTGCCAGGCATTGCACTAAATACAAGTATTTTTTCATGTGTTTATCTCAATTCATACATCGACCACGGAGGGAGGTACCAGATACCTTCTCCATTTTACAGATGAGGAAGCTGAGGGTTAGAGGTTAAGTAACTTACGTATTGTCACATTATGGTATGTGCAGAGCCAGGACTCAAACCCAGGGCTTTCTGACTTACAAGGCAATGTTCTTTATCACCATATCATACTAAATTTATATTATGTGAAGGCTGGGGAAGATTTTTAGGAAGAAACTCTTTTTTTCCCCCTCCTCTTTCAGATTTTCTTCTTGCATATTTAGGGCTTTAAATGTACCATGTCTTTAAAATAAAAATGATAAAGTACTTATTCCAGTGCCAGTATTGAATAACTTTTAATGTTATTTTTTAAAAATTTTAGCTAATGTGGAATATACTAAAATGTAATTTTTCTAGAGTTTGAAGAATTCAAATTTTGCTATTAAAGAACATTTAATTTTATCTCTGTTGAATTGGCTATTTTCTGCTGGTTGTTTTGCATCAGTTTTTTTCTCCCAAGCATATAAGTAGAGATTGGACCACTTTTAAACAGTACTAAATTGATTGATAGGGAGAAAATAAGAAATTTGTCTGAATTCACATTAAATTTTAAAAACATAGTTATATTCACTAACCAGTCTATTTTTAGATACTGTGTAATTAAAATTTATTGGTATCTGCATGTTCTCATGTGAAAGCTAGAAAAGTTGATCTCATAAAAGTAGAGAATAGAATAATGGTTACTAGAGGCTGCAAAGAGAAGGGAAAGGGAGATAGGGAGAGGTTAGTTAATGGATACAAAATTACAGCTAGGTAGGAGGAATAAATTCTAGTGTTCTATAGCACTATAGGGTGACTATAGTTTATATTTTCAAATAGCTAAAAGAGAATTTTGAATGTTCCCAATGTAAAGAAACCATAAATGTGATGAATGCGATAATTACACTGATTTTATTATTACATATTGTATACATGTATGAATATCACTCTACCCCATAAATATGTCCAATTAATTTAAAATAATTTTTAAAAATTATTACCAAAAAAATCATGTTATTTTTACTTTACAAGTTCTTATTAAAGAAGCCCAAAGAACGACCAATTATAGTACCATGATATATTAATAAAAACCAGTGGAGAAATGATCTTGTTTAATGTTTTTTTGGTTGTCCTACTTTTGCCAAACTAATTTCACTGATTTTCTCTGTATCCTAGTAAATTGAAATATATTGGATTCATTTACATGTACTCTCTTCTTTAGATGTCTGCTCCAGTGATGATCTCCCTGAAGTTGAGCTGGTGAATCTGCTAGAAGAACAGCTACCACAGTATAGGCTAAAAGTAGACTCTCTTTTTCTGTATGAAAATCAAGACTGGACTCAGTCCCCACACCAGCAGCAACATGCATCTGATGCCCTCTCTCCAGTCCTTGCTGAAGAGACTTTCCATTATATGAGTGAGTATTTTCCCTTTTAGAATTTGTGCATTGAAATAAAGATTATGGATATCTTGGTATTGACTTTTTAAAACATTTGACATTTATTAATTGTAGCCATTGTTCAGTATAGGCCTACTTTAACTTGAACTGATTTAACGGGAAGAGATAATTCTGTGTTATGTCTGAAGGCAGGAAGTTTGTCATTCTTATGACTCTGAGTATCCAGTGTTGCAGGCATACTAGATGTTTCTATTTCTTTCATCTTTTTGATATTTTCCTGAGACTAAGTAGAAAAGGGAACATTTTTAAAAGTAGTGAAATTATTTGAAATTTTATATCCTAATAGTTTGATATCCTGAGCCTTCAGCTTCTTGACTTTTATCTTCCCTATTAAACATAGTTACAGGAATTTTATGAGTCATTAAGAAGCATAGTTCTTAGCCGGGCGTGGTGGCTCACGCCTGTAATCCTAGCTCTCTGGGAGGCCGAGGCGAGCGGATTGCTCAAGGTCAGGAGTTCAAAACCAACCTGAGCAAGAGTGAGACCCTGTCTCTACTATAAATAGAAAGAAATTAATTGGCCAACTAATATATAGAGAAAAAATTGGCCGGGCATGGTGGCGTGTGCCTGTAGTCCCAGCTACTGGGGAGGCTGAGGCAGTAGGATTGCTTGAGTCCAGGAGTTTGAGGTTGCTGTGAGCTAGGCTGACGCCACGGCACTCACTCTAGCCTGGGCAACAAAGCGAGACTCTGTCTCAAAAAAAAAAAAAAAAAAAAAGCTCAGGAAAAAAAATATAAATCTCGTTTAAACTTGAATTGAAATACCAAGAAGTACAAATAAAACTGTGTTTTAGTTTGAGAAATTACTTGCTTAAGATTTTCTAGAAAATGATTTTTAGAAGGAACAGTAGTTTTTGTATTTTCATTTCCCTTTGTTCTTTGAATTTTTAACTTTGTGAAAAGAACTTTCAAGCTGAAATTTCATCAGGATAAATTTATAATAGTTTGTCATTATTTTGATAAAATGTCACAGAAAGTACTTCTTAGTTTACTTGTTTTTGTCCTATAGGCCACTGAGGTGTGAAACTATAGCTAGAAATATGTCTTAGATTGTGATTTAAGGGAGGTACTTTTAGTATGAATTTTAAATAAAAATACAAGAAAATAAAAGGTGTAAACAGCCAGGGATGGTGGTATGTGCCTGTAGTCCTATCTACTCAAGAGACTGAAGCTGGAGGATTGCTTGAGCCCAGGAGTTTGAGGTTGCAGTGAGCTATGATCGTGCCATGGCACTCTAGCCTGAATGACCAAGCAAGACTCTGTCACTTTAAAAAAAAAAAAAAAGTAAATAAATTCTAAAATTGTGACTTTATGCCAAACCATAATGTTCAAGGGAATAATCTAAAACTTGAGATTGGTAGAATGATACAGATTTATATTTCACGGTTCTGGAAAACTATTCTATTTCTTTAATCTTAATAGTACTATTTTCATGATAATTGGACTATATATGGTCTACGTAAGATCATAAAGCAAATAAGCTAAAATTAAAATTGGTCCACTAGGGTCAGGCGCAGTGGCTCACGCCTGTAATCCTAGCACTCTGGGAAGCCAAAGCGGGAGGATTGCTTGAGCTCAGGAGTTCTAGACCAGCCTGAGCAAGAGCAAGAGCAAGACCCCGTCTCTACTATAAAGAGAAAGAAATTAGCGAAACAACTAAAAATAGAAAAAAATTAGCTGGGCATGGTGGCACATGCCTGTAGTCCCAGATACTTGGGAGGCTGAGGCAGGAGGATCGATTGAGCCCAGAAGATTGAGGTTGCTGTGAGCTAGGCTGCTGTCACAGCCCTCTAGCCTGGGCAACACAGTGAGACTCTGTCTCAAAAAAAAAAAAAATTGGTCCACTAATACTTTATTTCTGTACTGCACTTTAATTTCACTGTTATTTTAAAGATATCAATTCTCTGGGTTAACAGTTCAATCAAATGTAAATAAATTTCATTATAAATTTACATCTTATGAATGTAAAAGATAAGTGGTTTATTTTATTTAGCAAATTGACCAAGATTTAAAAAACAAGATACAAAACATTCTCTCCCTTTCCCACAGTTTTCTATCCCCTTGAGACTTCAAGATTTGTGGTTTTGAATAATTATTACATATCCTGGCAGGCCATCCCTAATATTACTTCAATCCCTTCTTATCCCTACTTCTCTCCCGTGCCAGTGGATACTTGTGCTCATTAAAATGGATTTTAACAACTAGTAAAGAGAGGTGGCACAGTCAGGGGCATTTTCTGTCTTATACAACACAAAGAAATTAAAACCCCTGTGGCTGATAGGAAACATGGCCAGCATTTGGCGTTGTGAGCCTCTCACATGACCTGGGGGTGGGGGGAGTTCTCCGAAGTTACTCAAACCAGAAAGAGATTGTTTACTTTGAAAATTGGACACTTTGAGAGCAATGAATGGGTCCCAAAAATAATTTGGTCCCAGCCCGTGCCATACATAAACAAAGTTTAAAATGCTCACAGAATGTTTTACATGCAGAATAGATCATTCTAGGGTTTTCCTAATTTTATTAAGACTGAGCCCCAGAGCGAGTTACAGGGGGAGTCATGGAATCGGAATATACATTACAGACAATACCTTTTATACATTTAAAGGCTAAAAATAGAAACCTGATCTTCCTTTCAGGGGATTTTATTTAGGAATAAAGGATCAACTGTAGCACTTCCTAAGGCATAAGAAAAAAAGAGGGGAAATGATTGATTATGTTAAGTTTTATTTAAGGCAGGTTCTCCAAATGTGGACCCCACTATCTATATCATTTGGGAACTTGTTAGAAATGAAAATTCTTGAGTCCCCATCCCACCTACAGATTCAGAAAGCCTGGGGTGAGATATAGCTATCTGTGTTTTATCGAGTCCTGGTGATACTGATGCTCTTTCAAGTTTAAGAACAACTGATATAAAGCATTGTCAACCAAAGCTAAATTAGGTCATTTTACAGTCATATTAATTGGAGAATTAATTAGGGGGGTTTAAAATTTTGCAGAGAAATACAGTTGTGGATATTACTACTTCTGATGGGTAGATATACTTCAAGCTGTGTCCTCAAAAATTCATTAACCTATACAGGCCGGAAAGGAAATATGCCTGATTATGTTCAGGAAGCATTAACTGTAAGCCAGGTCATAGAGGTTAGCAGATTTATAATTCTCCTAGTTCAGCCCTCTCAACCAGTTCCACAAGAAAATTAAGCCCTAAGATATCTATGGTATGATGGATTACCTTATCATCTATATACTAGCTTTGTACTATCCTTGGGAAATTGAGAAAATTGTCACTTATCATCCATAGCAGTGGTTCCCAACTGTTTTGGCACCAGGAACAGGTTTCATGGAAGATAATTTTCCATGGGGGGGAGGGAGGGAGTGGGAGGAGGCCCTGAGGTAAAGCTCAGGCAGTGATGTGAGCAATGGAGAGAGCAATGGGGAGCCTAGCCACTGTAAGGAGCCACTGTAATGGCTATAAATACAGATGAAGCTTTGCTCACTCCTCCCCACCCCCTACTGCTCACCTCCTACTCTGTGGCCCAGTTCCTAAGTTTCATGAAAGAATTCTTTTTGGAGGGGGTGTGGTGCAGTGTGCAGAGCTCAGGTCTCAAGCAGTGATGCATAACCAGCCGGCTGGCCAGGTTCCAAACAGGCCATGAACTGGTACCAGGTGGCAGCCCCGGAAGTTTAGGGACCGCAAGTTCTTTTTATTTTTCTTTTTTTATTTTTGAGACAGAGTCTCACTTTGTTGCCCAGGCTAGAGTGAGTGCTGTGGCGTCAGCCTAGCTCACAGCAACCTCAATCTCCTGGACTCAAGCAATCCTCCTGCCTCAGCCTCCCAAGTAGCTGGGACTACAAGCATGTGCCACCATGCCCGGCTAATTTTTTTCCTATATATATTAGTTGGCTAATTAATTTCTTACTATTTATAGTAGAGACGGTGTCTCGCTCTTGCTCAGGCTGGTTTCGAACTCCTGACCTCGAGCAATCCGCCTGCCTTGGCCTTCCCAGAATGCTAGGATTACAGGCATGAGCCACTCCACCCCTCGGGGGATGGCAAGTTCTATAGGACTTAATTCTCCCGTGGAACCCTGTTGAGAAAGGCTGCCCTAGATGTCTTCATTTTGTTCTGTTTCAGTTCTTTGGAAGGCAGTTTTTGTATTGCAGAGATACTCTACAGTTTTTGTATTGCAGATATATTCTATCATAGCAGCAAGAGCTGCAGTTATTTCTTGAGGGCTAAAACCTCAAGACCCGTCTAGTTGTTGGGAGCTGTTGTAGATTTTCCTATGCTATGTGGGCAGTGTATGTGTTTCATTTGTGGTGTTTTTTTGTTGTGGTGGTGGTGGTGGTTTGATTTTTGTTTTTTGGTGTGAGAAGTTTAGAGAGTAATGAAAGATTAGACTTCTTTTTTAAATTCAGTAATTGTGATAAAAACTCTAGATCTTGAAAGGAGACATGAGAGAACTATTGAGCCCCATCTCATATAAATGACAAAGATACCAGATTAGATTCACATTGGTGTTTTCCATCTTTAATATAATGTGAGATTGGGTTGGTTGATGTGAAATTATGCAGGAATAGAACATAAAGTAAGGATTAGTGAAATGTTTATATATATTAAACTCTCCACCCCATATTTTCAGGAACATTCCAAACATTATAACAAAAATGTTGAATATTAACACCCTACAGAAACCAAGTTGCAAATTACTCTGTAAAAATGTGTGTCATCTTCCCGATGTTATAAATATTTTTTTAGAGAGTAAGAAAAGTTAGTGCCTGGCAATAAATGAGGATCATTACTAATTTCTGTATCATTTAACATATTTTTATTTTGACAGCTGATAACTGAAAGGAAAATAGATTTTGATAGGATTGATTTTAATGAAGTTTGGCTATTTGGTTACAGAATTATAGTGAAGAATTAGTCTATGGGTATTCAAGCATTTACTCAAAATA